CACACACACACACACACACACACACACACACAGAGCCCCCATGTTCTCACTACATACCGGTCCAGATGAAGTTGTCATCCCAGACTGACCACATCTGGACGATGAAGAAAGGCGCCCAGCAGAGGATGTAGGCAGTCACGATCACAAAGGTCATCTTCACTGTGCGGATCTTGGCACGGGAAATGGTCTTCACGCTGCTGACACAAGGCGTGACCAGAAGCCCCTTGTGGAAGGGACCTGGGGTGTCCCCAGAGTCCTTGCTCTGCCGCGACGCCGTCTTCCCACGGACGTTGCGCCAGATGTGGTAGCAGATGAAGCCGTAGCAGGTACCCAAGATGACCACAGGTACCACAAAGACACCACTGGTCATCCAGGTCACATAGGCACGGGTACCCCAGGGCTGGATGAAGGTAGCCCAGCAGTCTTGGGTTTTGGTACCGTTGTTCACCTCGATTTCGATCATAGAGAAGATGAAGTACTGCGGCGTGCTTAGTAGGAAACTCAGCACCCAGGAGGCAGCGATCATGAGGCGCGAGCGGCGCGCGGGCTGCTGCAGGGTCTTGAGCGGGTGGCACACCGCGATGTAGCGGTCGGCGGTCATGACCACCAGCATGTAGGCGGACGCGAACATGGCAAACACCTGCAGGTGCTTCACCACGCGGCACAGCCAGTCCGGCCCGCGGAAGCGGTAGGTGATGTCCCAGCACAGCTGTGGCAACACTTGGAAGAAGGCGACCGCCAAGTCTGCCAGGCTGAGGTGTCGGATAAAGAGGTGCATGCGGGATGTCTTGCGTGGCGTGCGATGCAACGCCAGCAGCACACTGCTATTGCCCAGCACGGCCACCACGAAAATCACCGCCAGCACGGCGATCTCCAGCTTGGCCAGCTCCTCGTTGCGCACATCCCCGGGAGGGTCGTTACCTTCCTGGAGCAGCCCCGCTGCCTCCCGGCTGCTGTTGGCATCCTCGGCGCTCAGAGGCCACCACCGGCTGGAGTTGTTGGCCGCCCGATCGTGGGAACCTCGCGGGAAACTCATGCTGTCGGTGCAGCACCTGGGAGGCCCTGTCCGCTGTGGGCTGCTTCCTTCCCGCCTCTGAGGACCGGGAGACCCGTGTCCTAAGCTCCGCTCGCTGTCCTTCCTCCTTTTGATCTCTTGGCTGCGCAATCCCAGCAGCGTAGGGCGAGCAGTTTGGGGTGGGATGTTCGTGCCTGTCCCCTCCACTCCCGAGCAGGGAAGCTGCTAGAGCTTCCCACACTCCGCACTCCCAATACACTCTGGCTGTCTCAGGACCTCAGGACGCGCTCCCCCACGTTCTAGTGGCTGGAGACTGTCCCCACGCCTCTAACCCCCACCCCTCCGAGTCGTTTGTGATTTGTCCTCTTGCCTTGTTGCAGGGGTGGAGCTGAGACTCCTGGATTCCTCTGCAGAACCAGGCGCTTTCCCCTCGCTCTGCCCCAAACTTCTCTGGGCGCCTCAGGGTTTCCTCCAGCCCCCTTGACAAGCCAATTGAAAGCCACGCAGGACGTCAACAGGAGCAGTAAGTGCGTCCTTAGAGATCTGCGTCTGCTGGCCCTGCGAACTCAGCGCACCTGAACTTAGAGTCTGCCTGGTCCTCCTGGCCCCCAGCTCTGCACTTAGGCTAGTCACTCAGGCTGATTTTATTCCTCTCCGGGTTTCCCGCTACCCTACCCGTTGTCTGCAGGGGTAAACATGCCGTGACTTAAATGGATCTCTCTTTCTGGTGACTTCGTCACCCTGCCTTTGCCTGCAAACGGGAAAGACCCACTCACTTGCACCCTGCCCTCCTCTTGCTGGGTGTGCGTAATCTACGGTGTTGACTCCACATGCTCAGCGGGGGACCGGCGACAACAGGCGTTTCTCTAGAAAGCCCGATTCCCACAGCCACAGGGTGGAGAGAATTGGGCTGCACTAGTCAGTGGAGACACAGTCTGGTTAATTCAAGACTGAATTCCGAGGACATTTCCTAGAACAGTCAGAGAAGAGAGCTGAGAACCAGATCTGTCTGTCTCTATCTCCATCGCTTTCTCTGTCTGTCTGTCTGTCTGTCCAGCTGGGCTCTTAAGCTAGGAGCTAGGGAGAGGGAAAGAGGCATTTGGAAAGAAGAGAAGAAAACTACGCCACCCTACCCTCATAGTAATTAATTGTTTGCACAACTGAGTCCCGCTGCGGTGCTTCAGGGAAACGGAAACACCTAGAGACTCATTGGCTGTCTTAACTCTGGCCAAGGGAGGCTACCCAGGACAGCAGGGGGAGCTGTTTCTGAAGGAGGAACATGCAAACTTCATAGCTAACAGGAAAAGGATCCTAACTTTCTTGGGAGTTAGAATGTTGGTCTACCTGTGGCAATAGTACGAATCTGATTGCTTCTAGAAAGTATTTTGATTTTTGTGATTGCACTTCACAAAAGAAAATGTTTTCTTCGGCGCAGGTAGCTTTGCTACATGATTCCATGCATTCGTGTAGAAACCTCGGGGCTGGTACGTTAAGAGTGAGGGTGGTGCACGCCTTTGACCCCAGCACTCGGGAGGCAGAGGCAGGTGGATCTTTGTGAGTTCGAAGCCAGCCTGGTCTACAGAGCGAGATCCAGGAAAGGTGCAAAGCTACAGAGAGAAACCCTGTCTCAAACCAAAATAAATAAATAAATAAATAAAAACCCCAAAACAACAATAAAAAAGAGTGAGGGGCTTGAAGTACGGAGGCAGCGGAGTTTCACCGTGGTTAGATAAGCCTCAGTCTATACATCTTTTTTTTTTTTTTCGAGACCCTTTAATCCCAGTCTCTACATCTTAAAAATGGCAATGAAAGTATGCGCTTTTCTCGTCTATGAAGTTGACTGGAGAATCACGTGATGCGATGTCTGGTGGAGAGATGCCGTGAAGATGGAACTCGGTGGTTACATGAGCTTTTCTCCAAGATAATAAGAAAATATCAAAAGTGAAAGGTTTCTAAACCATTCATTTGAGGAAAAACAAAACAAAACCTTCAAGCAATTTGGTTACAGTCACTGTCTCAGAGGGGAGAACTTATTTTTAAAGACACAAATTGCATTATTAGCGTTCTATATGAGAAATACTGTTGTCTGACCCTAGTGTCTGCAGAAGAGGTCCATTGGCCAGAACTACGAAGCCTCATAGCTTTTGGGAGGACACATTTGAACTGTGTTTCCCTGGGAGAGGGAATGAGTGTTCTTAATCCAAAGATGGGGCTTCTTGGGAAATCACAAATGTTAAGCCATTTGATCCAGCTATCAAAATGTGTTCAAGTTTCCAATTCATAAACATAACTTGAATCAATGGATGCAATTGGAAGATACTATGTTATTCAGTAACATTACCAGCTATCTATATGTGTACATATGTGCATATACATCTGTGTATAAACATGCACAAGTGCAAGTGTGTGTGTGTGTGTGTGTGTGTGTGTGTGTGTGTGTGTGTGTGTGTACAAATCTGTATGCATTTATCTGACACTTTTTTTTCTGGGTGCCATAGGGTCTAGCAATTAGATTAAGAAGTGTTACAAATTCCAGAATCAGTTCCTTTTTTTTTTTTTTTAACTCACATGTTTAAAAAAAAAAAACAATGTCATCTTTTGGGGGGTTCCATATTCAAAAGAAAGTAAGACCATTAAAATGGATGTAACTTACTGGACCCCCTATGGAAGTTCCCCCAGAAGGAGAAAGGAATTGTGGAGTTGAGGGGAAACAAACACAGAGTGTTTTCCCTGGTATCTTGTGCTTTTTCTTTTGGCACTCTGAATTCATTCTTTGGTATTAAGAGTTTCTGTCTCTTCTGAATCCCCAGGGGAGTCCTTTCCCTGGAGGAGATGGGAATAAAGGGTGGGTGGGGGAGGGCGGGGGTGGGTGGGAGGATGGAGAACAGGGTAATCTGTGGCTGATATGTAAAATTAAATTAAATTTTAAAATAAAAAACTAAAAAAAAAAAGAATTTCTGTCTCTTGCTCTCCAGGGATTTCAGTTTGTTTAGGAGATGGGACTGAGATGATGAGAAGAATGATGGAAATTAAAGCGAATATGCTCCGGGATCCTTGTTGTCTTGCATTTGCTAATGATGCTCTTTCCAGTCAGCAATTCCAGATGTCCAGTTGATGTAAACAGCGGTGTCCTTCCCTGGCTAGCTGGGACTTTGTTTTCATTGTTGAGCTTCAGAGGCTTCAATCAGTAAAATATTTGTGAGAAATATTCATGTATTTGCTTCGAGGATTACACATGTGATTGAGTTTTGGGATTTCATGGGTGGTCAAAATATTCATCTCTCTTTTTCAAATATGTCATCCTCAGTGTTACCTGCGATTTTGTCATTGAGCCCTTTCTTCCAAATTAAAGCAACACACCTCCATTTTTAAAATACTTAATAGAAGATTTGGGTATGGTATCAGTGATTAGAGTTCAATGGTTAAATGCACAGAAGAGGGCTGAGTATGCCTTCCACTCTCCCTGGAAACCTACTTTTCATAGTTATTTTTCTGTTGCTGTGATAAGACACCATGACCAAGGCAACTTATGAAAGAAAGTGTGTAATGGGCTTTACAGTTTCAGAGGGTTAGAGTTCATGATGGCGGAGAAAAGGCACCGTGCCAGGAACAGCTGGAGCAGCAGCTGAGAGCTCACACCTTGATCCACAGGTAAGACGCAGTGAGAGGGAGCACTAGGAATCCAAGACGTCTTGAGAACTCAAAAGCCTGCCACGCCCAGTGACACACCTCCTCCAACAAGGCCACACCTCCTGATCTTCCCCAAACAGTTCCACCAACTGTGGACCAAGCGTTCAGATACATGAGCCTATGTGGAGCACATTCTCATTCTAAGCACTACGTTACTCAGAGAAAGGATTTGCAACTCTTCAAAAAGAAAACTGCTCAACTTTATCTGTCAACGTTTCTTCAAGTTACTTGATCATAGATTCCCCACCCAACACCCTACTGCCTGTCCACCAATCCTTTTAACTTTTCATGGAAGCATGATGAACATTTCACAGGCAATCGACATAGATTAAGTAGCACAGGGTCATCTAAGTCAAGAAATTGGAAGCTGGGGACAAATTTAACCTACTCTCCTAGAGTAGGAAAACCCTATGCAAATAGGTCACGTTGGCATCACTGTGGTATATTATGTACTTTCCATAAATATTTTCAATATATCTGACTCCCTCCCTTAACCCGTCAGATTCTTTCTCCCTCATTATGGAGAAAACAGAAAAAAATAAGGTGATCTACATTATTCATGTATCCATTTTACATCAACAGTGCACAATGTCTTTTTGCTCCTTCAGTTTTAAATTAGTTGTGGTACAAGCCAGCCATCTAGTATTCAAGTTGTTGCCCCTAACAAATCCAGAAAGATTTATTTCATGCTCTTATATTTGTACCTGACAATAATCTCTTAGTAATATTTATTGCTAGGTCTTAGGCTGCTTATAAAGAATAAATTTATTTATAATATCATAATAGCATATTTCAAGTACTTTGTTATAGGCACTGCCATATGTCCCTATGGAGGACAGGCTGTTACTACTTTAGAGGAGGAGGAGGAGGTAATAAATGTATGAATAACCAACCTTTGGTGACACAGCTGGCCAATGATAGAATCAGAACTTACACAAAGACATTGGTTCCAGCAGGGTTCCTAACATAACCCCTACATTACATTGCCATCTGTAAACCTCGTACTTCTGTTCTTGGCTCTTAATAGACACACGAAGGATCTCTGATAGATGATTTAACATGCCATGTACACACAGTATTTTCTCCTTTATGACTAAAAGATCGTGAGAGATTTTTCACTGATTCTTACCTGTCTCTGATTTCTTCTTTAACAAGTTAATTGCAGGACAATAATAGTAGAAGCACTGATTAATCTCTTATTTATGAATTAAAATGACTAAATTCATTATGTTTCATCTTTGAGATAACACAATAAACTGAGTGTGGAGAAAGCCATCATCATCCCATTTAGAGACAAATAAAACAAAGTTTACAGAATATAAGCAACAAAGTCTCGGTGTTCCAAGTGATTGAACAAGAAGCAAAGACAGGACCATTTGAAGATCAGGGCTCTAACTTCTGTGTCTCAATGCTCCCCATACACATCAGCACCCAAAACATCTTTGCAGAATGAATTAATAAATGCTGCAATGGAAACTTTTTAGTGCTGTTTGAATATTCAGTTCATGAAGTACATGGTGATTCAATAAATCAGGGAAGAATTCATGAGGAACCACTCTCCATCACCTAAATTCTACAGTGTGTCTCTGAAGAAGGAGATTAGCATTTATGTTAGAAAAGAATTGGTTGATTCTAGTCAGAGTGCCTTGAGATTTCTGGACTGGACTGGTTATTACATTTGATTTAAAAGTTATCCTCTGCATATATATCCTGGCTTTCAGTTTAGTATTTTTGTGGGACTCCTGATTCTTGTGACTTCTCTTGGGGCTCTTTTCCTTCTATAGGGTTACCTTGTACAACTTTGATGTGAGTGTCTTTGTTTCATCTAATTATACCTTATTTTGCTGTGTTTGGTTGTTATCTTTTAGAAGCCTGTTCTTTTCTAATGAGAGATTAAAAGGTAGTGGATCTGGATGGGAGGGGAGGTAGGGAGGAAATGGGAGGAGTAGAGGGAACAGGAATTGTAATCAAGATATATTAACTTTTAACACACACACACACACACACAC